AGGAAGGTTGGGCATTCCTACTTCCGTAGTGATACTGCCTCGGAAACCCAAGGAGGGGTCACTATGAGTCGGGGCCGACTCGATGGCAAACAACAACAACAACAACAAATTACATATCATCCTGCAACTTAGCATTTTTCACTAAACAGCGTTTTTGACATTGATTCATGTTGATACCCATATGGACCTAGTTCATTTAACTTAGATGATATAATAAATATGCCACAAATTATTCTCTTGTTGCTGGACATTTAGGTTGTTTACAATTTTGGTCTATTATAAATAATGCTACAATGAACACAGATTACTTTAAATATACATTTTAAAAAGAGTTTCTAGCTATGTTTCTAAAGCCTCTAGTTCTACAGGCTTTTCCTTCACTTTTTCTCTTCGTAATTACAGGAGTTGACTCAAGTGGCCATGGAAAATGAAGCAGATTTCAAAACTAAGCTTTTCTCCAGCAAAAGCCTCTTGGAATTAGAGCAGCAGCAAACTCTTGTGGAAGTCCAGGAGCGGACGCTGTTGATCCTGCAGCTGATGGTAGTTCTATGCGAGAGAATGTCGGAGCAGATATTCACAAACATCAATCAGGTCAGTGGCTGGCGCATTCTAGAGCCCAGCCTGGTAGTGTCTGTCCTTTGGTTTCTTTACATTTTTTCAAAAAACGCTTTAAAAAATGTTGCCCAGAGTGTGGTTTGATGACACCTGCATCAGTCAGTTAAACATGCATGTTATCTAGCCCACACCAGACCTACTGCCCCTATAAAACGTTCATCGGTCCTGGGAAGCAGCGTGTTTCACAAGTTCCTGAGCTGATTCTTATGCACATTCAAGGTGAAGAACTGTTTTAAATATTTATATGTTATATCATTGTGGTTTCAACTTTTGGTGCAAATAGAATTATCTGGGATCTTTTTCAGAATGTAGATGCTCAGCCCACTTTAGAAATTCTGATTCAGCATATCTGTGTTAGTGCTCCGTGGATAAGTCTAATGTGCATCAAAAGTTAGGAATGATTAGCAACTCAGATTACTAATGATAATAATTTTACCTTGAATTTTATAAGTCCTCTAACATACAGTTTATGTCCACAACACTCTCTGAATTTTAAGATGTCTTTGTAAAATGCTTTCCAGGTAGTGTAGCTCTGCGAATCAGTGCCTGGATTTTATTGCTTCAGATGTTGTTTTTATCAGTCTGTGTTTTTTAAATAGGAAATACACATAATGAAGCGGAGGCAGTGCAGGCGACATATTTTACCACTTGACCAGAATTAGTGGTTGCTTGCTTGGTGGATAGTCAGTTGTAAGATGGTATGATTGTCACGCTTAAATCTGATTCTCCAGCTCTTTGTATCGTCTTCATTGTCATCTGCCTTCGTGTGTTGCTTAGCAGCATTTCACTATAGCTCCTGCTGAGAAAATTTGCAGCTGCCTGTCAGCCTTGACTTATCTTGCCTGTTTAATGAGAATTATGTTCATGATTTCTTTCCTGGCCTCTCATTCCTTCAGTTCATTCACCCCATGTTTCTCAGTCAGGTGATTTGTTTCTACTGTGTTTATAACAGTTCCCTAGAGATGTTTTCACCCAGACCTTATGTCTTTGTCTCAGGATGCCGTTTGGAAGGGGAAACAGTTTAAAAACTGATATGACTTGAGCTTTTACACTTATTTTCCTTTACTCCTAATTAAGAAACAATGGTGTTAGGTGGGTGCAAGAGTGATTTGTCCCACCGAGTTATCCTTCAGCAAAGGTTAAAAGATATCAGGACAAAAAGAACATACAGAAATACTAAATTGCATTTAGTAGTCTTGCTGCTTGATATGTTATTTTGAAGTACACATACACATATGGATAACGAACACATACAAATAAATTGTAAGTAATTTTGCTAACAAGGTGCCCTTGGAGGTGCCACAGTTAAGCACTCAGATGCTGATTGAAAAGCTGGTGGTTTGAACCTGCGCAGTGGCTCTGCTGGGAAAGACCTGATGATCTGCTCCCCTGAAGATGACAGCCTGGAAAACCCTGTGGCAGTTCTGTTCTGTCACGGGGGGTCCCTATGAGTCAAAAGCTGACTTAATCTAACAACAATTTTGCTAATGTCAAAGGAATAAAGATTTTCAACGTAATTAAAAACTATACATGGAAAATCAAAGAATTTAAGTAAAAAACTAACAGTGAGTTTCAGTTGGAAGTTTTAGTATGAACTCATGACTTATTTTTTTATTTTTTAAAATACGTAGACTTTTGTGTCCATGGTCAATGCCTAGAAGGAACTTACTAGCAATGAACATTCTTAGTGCCCAGATTATAGTTTCTAAATACTATTTCCTATTAAAGGACACAGAGCTGCTTGGATTATGATTTGAGGTCTGGACTGGAATTGTACACTATGAACCTTGAGGTATCTCATGCCTGAATGCAAAGAAGCTATCCAAAATTAATGGGGTCATGTTAGTAGAACTCAGGAGCCAACTTGAAGGAGCTCCCATTAGCCAAAGGCAGGACAATTTGAGCATTAAAAAAATGTGTACAGTGGATTGAAATACAACAAAGATAAAAAAATATGAATCAAGACAACAATGAACAAAACTCCTCATTTGATGCTAGGGCATCAAATAATTATTTTGTAAATAAAGGGAAAGGATCAAGAATTAATCTTATTATTAATTATTTCAGGGTAACCAAATAGTTAATGAAGGAAAATTTTTGTTTATACAAGAATCACAGCTGAAAAACACAGAAAGAAAACTATAAAGTTACATTTTGCAACTCCTAATGAAATAATGGATCCAGGCAGCAGTCATCAATGTCTGTTAAAACCATTAGATGGACTACTGATTAGATGATTATAATGATTTTTATCAGGCTGAAAACCTAAACACTGACTGACTGATTTCCCCCGAACATTTTATTATGAAAAATTTTAGGCAGCAAACTTGAAAAAATTTTATAGTGAAGAATGAGATTCTGCCATTAACATTTTTAAAATGTGCTTTATCACATTATTCCATCCTTCTATTTATCTTATTCTTGCTGTATTTTAGTGCAGAAATCAGCATATGTTCCACAAAATATTTCAGCATGAATTGATTGATCTTAACAGTTATTCATCATAATGTGGACAAGCAGACATTAGGTGCCTCCTGATGTAGTAGGAAGTATGTGGCACCACCTAGAGAAGATTCTTACCCAGAAAACCAAACCAAAAAGAAAACAAACAACCTTTGAGCCTGGATCTAATCAAGGAAATTCAGGGGCTAGAGAAGCAAGTTTAACAATGGCACGAGGAAGCAATCAGTAGAGTCTAGAATGGTGGAGACCCTGCAGGTGCAGATGACTCAGGTTCTTCATCAAATCAATGCCGTGAAACAGGGTCAACAGGGCTGTTGTAGTCTAAAGGGGACTTAAGAGACATATCAACCAAGTGCAGTGTGTGGATTCTTGTTCAGACAAACCAATTATACAAAGACATTTTGAATTAAAACAAAATCCTAAACCACTGCCATTGAGTTGATTCTGACTCATAGTGACAGAGTAGAACTGCCTCATAGGGTTTCCAAGGCTGTAAA